ACACAAGTGGGGAATATTCTTTGAATAGAACTTGCCTGATGTATAAGACAACAATAAAAAAGTTTTTTCCTAAAATAAGCTGTTTTGTTTGAAAGGCATTATTGATATTGTTTTGACTGTAATTCTCATTCATTAGCCATTCAGTATCCCTTTATTACATCTGGATTTGAGGTGAATTGTAGTAATTTCATTATTATTAAAAATTAAAAATAAATTATGCAGAAAGTAGGATCTAATCTCTCATTAATAATTAAATTCTGGATATCTAATTATCACCAGTCAAACTTTGATGGCAAAGTTGTCTTCTATAGGCCCTACTAAAAATCAATGGGATTTGATAAGAAATCACAGATAGACGCTCATTGTAGAACAGGCTAGAACATTTTTTTAAATTAAAATATTGAATTTTTTTTTGGAAAGAGCATAAGTCCCAAAAATATTCCTTTAATGATCTAGATAAACAACATTAACACTAATATTTGAATACTTGAAAATCTCAAGTATTACAGTGTACTTTTAATGTTTTCTTTAAATTCTTAAGAATTTCATTTTCAATATTCCATTGTAATTTTTTTTTTTTTTTCTAATCATAACATGTGATTTTAAATAAGAAGCTCAACACAAGGTTTGATCAGATTTTTATGAATTAATATAATAAATTAAACAAAACTGATGATTTTGGCACATTTTAAAGTGATAAGTACACAATTTTATATATTTTTGCTTTTTACTGCATGTATTTCAGATTTTGATCACACGAAGATGCAGTCTTTAACTGTCAGTAAAATACAAATAAATAAAATATCTTTGATGAGAGCTCAACAATACAAGTTTGAGTAAATTTCAGCGAGTCCAAGTGCTTCTCCTGTTTTTTCTTTTGAAAAATAAACTTTATTCTGGGACAAAATCCCTTAAGAATGATAATATTGTCATACAAATTGACATTAAATTTGATCATAAGACTAATTACAATTACAGATATAAACACAGGTATATATATATATATATAATATATATATATATATATATATATATATATATATACAAATATATAATTATGGTATGGTATGGTGAAAAACTGTAAATGTATACATAATAAATGGAACCATACCATAATAATATTTTATTGTCTATGTGTTAATATTATGAAAGAACCGGATATGAGCATGGTGACCGGCCCAAAAGACAGATTCTTGTAAGGCCAGCCTCACGGCATATCGTTTATGAATCATACATAGGATCCAATGAGATTCATAGATATCAACTTCTGCAATACTCATATAGAGTACGACACTTCAAATTTGGGAAAGCTGGACGGGGAGAGCAGGAGACAGACTAGATGCTTGATTCAGAAAACCATCAAGACCATGTAATGAGAAGGCTGATTGCCTTGCTAGTAAGGGCTCTGCACAAGTGCCGGTTGCACCCGAGTCCATCTGTGTGATAAGCCTTGGCAGCGCCAAAAGGTATATTAAAGCAATTGTGGATAATAAATCTAGGCTTCATTGGGAACAGAGTAGAAAACAAACTCATTTTAAGTTGTTCCTAGAAGGGCCCTGTCACAAGAGAAGTAAATCATTTCTTCTAATGGACATGAGCACCACTAGGTAGGTGTGACAGGACTGTACACTGGTCATTGTCGACTTAATAAGCACCTCTTTAACTTGTGCGAAAGTGAGACTGCCACCTGCAGGCTGTGTGTCTTGGAGGATGAAACAGCCTATAACATTATTTGTAGATTTGGCTAGACTGCGATACTTTCACTTTGGATGTGATCTGACCCTAGCGCTGCGAACTAATGGATCCTATTAGTATTAATAAGTTCGCAAAGGCATCTGGCCTGTTTTAGTAGAGTTTAGAATGGCAAACAATAGGCCTCCTTGAGACCGCGGTGCATCCCCATGTCAGAAAAAAAAAACCATCAAGACACATGCAATTATTATTCTACATCAAGCAAAGCGCTCATTATACAAGGTGTCCCGTAAGTAGAGGGAAATTTTTATAGGAGTGATAGCAGATTTTAAAAGCTACAAAAAATTTCATATAAAAAATATAAACATAGTGGCATAATCTTATAATGGAGATCATTTTCCAAAACTATGGCTCCAAAAATATACCCATTTATCGAAGAAATCCAAAAAAAAAACTCAAATAATTCGAAACACAGTGGTGTTCTCTTAAAATGGAGTCATTTTAAAAATGTAGGGTTCCAAAAACATCGAAATAGACCCTTATATTGAAAAAATCTAAAAACTCAAATAAGCCGAAAGGCACTGCGTAATCTGGTACTGGTACATTAGCCAGATGGGACGAAACCTCACTTTTTATCTATGTTATCCTAACGTCACGTCACATAACCTCCCTCTTCTTATCTCACCAAACCTTTCAGTTATTAATTGTAGGTAAATGGTTGACTGTCGTGAATAATGAAGAGAAGAATAATTGGGGTGATCAGTTAAATAAGAAGGCAAAAATAAATGATAATATTTATTTTGACATTTGCCGATGTTTCGACCTGAAGTTCAGGCCATCATCAGGGCTAAGAAAAGAACCAGATAACAAGGTATGAGAAACATAAAAATTAAAGTAAAATGCAGTTGTTAGAATGACAATAGTAAGAACTAAGAGATAAATAATAATAACCAGTACAAAGTGTGGAATGATGAAGTAAACAAAATCAAAAAAGATGACATAAGTATTGAAATGGGAATCTTAGAATAAAATGTAAAACAGAAAAATATGAAGTTATATAAGAAATTGAAATAAATAGTAAAATTAAGATATTGAAAATAGAATAGTCAGATAGAAAATTGAGATGTTGTAAAGTATATCAAGATGTACAGACAACGTATAATATAGTAAAGAGTTAAAACAGAGAAAAGGAATGAAAGGAAGGAGGAAAGAAACTGAGAAGGTTGAAATAAGAAAGAGAATAAGAAAGAAAAAGAAAAACACACCTGACTGCAAAGATGTAAATCGAAGCAATGAGCATGTTAGTCAGGTAGGGGGTGGAGAGAAGGGATGTATAGTGGCGTCATCTCCAACAGTTATCTGACGAAGTTTGAACTAAAGTACCGGAAGCGTAAATACGGACGAGAGATTCCACACTTTGTACTGGTTATTATTATTTATCTCTTAGTTCTTACTATTGTCATTATTCTAACAACTGCATTTTACTTTAGTTTTTATGTTTCTCATACCTTGTTATCTAGTTCTTTTCTTAGCCCTGATGATGGCCTGAACTTCAGGTCGAAACGTCGGCAAATGTCAAAATGAATATTATCATTTATTTTTGCCTTCTTATTTGACTGATCACCCCAACTATTCTTCTCTTCACTTTCAGTTAATACATTGTTTATTTTTCAGTTATTCATTTATTACATTTAGTTATTAAATTCTTTATTTTTGGCCTGTTTGTGTTTATTTTTCAGTTATTCACTTATTACTTTCAGTTATTAAATTCTTCATTTTTGGCCCGTTTGTGTTATTTTCGTCAAATTATGAATCTTGTTACATTCTGGGAATTACCTTCTTCAGAAGAACAGGCTATTAAATATTTTCAAAATGTTGGGATACTTGCAAACATGAAATTGTGTGAACAAGGTCATCAAATGAAGTTAGACAGGGATGCGAAATGGAGATGCTGTCAAAGCACTTTAATTTTATCTTTTATATGTACATATGTTCTTCAAGTGTTTTTGTTATTAAATTATGTTTACAATTTCAATAATACGAATATAATACAATAAATATGAATATGAAGATAGGAATTACGAGAAGGCTTATCACTCCCTTATCAGAATTATCAGTGTTCAGGTTATAAACATTGGTAGATAGCAGTCCGTCCCGCCTGGCTAATGGACCAGTACCCGTAATCTTAAAATGGAGATTATTTTCAAAAACTGCGGCTTGCAAAACATCCAAATAGACCCTTATATTGAAGAAATCCGAAAAACTCAAATAAATCGAAAAACAGTGGCATAATTTTAAAATGGAGACCATTTTCAAAAACTAGGGCTCGGAAAACATATAAATAGCCCTTATATCGAAGCAAAATAAATTTAACGTTAAATTATTTGAAAAACTCGAATAACAAATAAAAAGATAATAGATAACTTAAATTTATTTATTATTTAAATAGAAGATAAAATTAAAATATTCTTCAATGGTATTTGAAAATAAAAATTAATTATTTGTTATCTATTATCTATTATTTAAGATAAATTTTGCCCAACACTGTTGCAGATCTCAAAACTACGAAAAAGTTCATATGAACAGTGACCCACTTTTCAGCAGAAAAGTAGGAAATTCAAGTTTTGTGTTTTTTAAGTTAGTCATGGTTTTTGCTGAATAGGCTGAGATAACAAAAGAATTATTTAATTTATGTAATTACCAATTGCTGCACTGTGAACTAGCCACAATTTACTTTACATGAAAATAGAGGATGTCGTTAAAACCATTTTAAGAGAACTTTTGAGCAGCTAAAGTAAGCTTAATTCTTTTTTTTTTTTTTTAAAAACTATTCACATTTTTTACCATTATCTAACTATACCACAGATAAAAAAAATAAAAGCCTGCTGTATGAAGTGCACTGTTCGAGTATCACAGTAGTTGTTCAGTGGCTAATTAATTGAAGTTTATAGACTATGGCATAGGGCGATGGGACCACCACCTCCCTATGCCAAGTAGTACTTTGAAAATTATAATTCCAAATACCTGTTTCAGAAGAATCATCCAAGGATGATGCAAGTTTGTAAAAGTGATTATTAATGAAATGGAAAACATTTTTTTATGTTATCATTTCTTTGAAAATTATCAATTGATACAATTTAATTTAAAATTATGATATTTCAATGATAATTAAAAATATTATAAGAAAGTAGTATTTATAAGAAAACCAAGTAATAACAAAACAAAGTTTGAACAGTAACATTCATCAGAAGAATAAATAGCAGTTATAAAAATCATAATATTGGAGAAAGGAAAAAATAATTATCTACCTTCTGGAAAGTCTTCATATAATGGAAGATCACTGGCTTCCACTAATTCTTTACGATGAGGGTTATCAGATCGAATCAAGAGTAATATTCCAGTTCGATGAGGAGAAGGGATTTTAATATGTTTCATTTCATCTTCTGATTTTCCAGTAATTCCTTCTCTGATGACATTCACAATTTGACCTAAAAATTTACAGATTAAATTACAACTTAACAATACTTAAGAAACAGCATCTTTTTATTAATTGAATTTTGCAGAGTAATATAATGTGTAAAACTAAAAGACTAGAAACTAATAAAAGAATGATTATTCAGAGGATTCATTGATATCCAAAAGGATTTTTAAAATTTAATTAAAAGGTTTAATATCATATATATAAATAAAAACTAAAAACTTGACAACAGATAAAATAATTACACTAATGCAAGTTTGACTTTATGCATTCATACTGAAACTTTCTAACAAGACAGCTACATTAAAAAATTAATGACATAATCAAAAGTAATTTTAATTTAATTTAAACCATAAGTTTTAGTCTAAGATAAGTGACCAAAGTAAAGTTTCAAAATAAGTTGGTATAAAAAATAAAAAGATCAAATATATGATGGTCAACTATCCATGACCACTACCGCCTACAGTCACATTTGAAAGCGTAAATAGTTTTGTGTTTCTAGGGTCTCTGGTCTGTGCAGACAATAGGAATAGCCAATAAGAACAAAGACGAATTACAACAGCAAACAGGTGTTATTTTGGCAAGGAAAAAATATAAAGGAGTCATTTGTTGTCAAGATTCACTAGGATCATTCTGCACAAATCTTTAATTAGACCTGTACTGAAATACGTCTTAGAGACATGGCTCTTATCACATAAACACCATCAGCTAGCTGATTCGAGAGAAAACCGCTGAGAAGGATGTTTGGCCTTGTAAAATATGGTACCTAGTACAGGCTGAGGTATAATGTAGAGTTGTACCAAATTTACTGGGAGCCAGATGTGGTATTATTTATAAGGCTCTAAAGGCTAAGATGGACTGGGCATGTTCCAAGGGTGGATGGTGACTCACCCAATAAATAGCTACTCTTCGGTTTTGTCAATGGTAGGAGAAAGAGAGGAAGACCACGACTAAGATGGGCAGATAAGATCAAAGCCGATGCAGAAAAAATTCTGGAAACTAGAGCTTGGCAGAACTTAGCACATGATGAATGGAGGCGACTCGTACCAGATTGCAGTGCCTGTGATGGTAATAAAAAAAAGACATTTATCAATTAGTTTAGTTTTAAGTGCATACTCATGACTACTAACACAATGAATACTAAAAGAAAAAATCTGACACTAAGTACTAACTGGGTGTTATATTTGTATCTCAATAGTATTTGCCATTCGGTACTTCGAGATGGTCTCATGTGTCTCACCTATATTCTCCCTCTCCCCCTCTCTTTCTCTCTCCCCCCCCTCTCTCTCTCAACCTCCACAAACCAATCCTCATCCTTGACCTAATTTAAACATAATTTTTTTATCTATCTCATCAGCAATCAATCTTCCGAATATGTGTAAAATAATGTTTACATTTTTCAGTGCTGTTAGTCGCTTTTAATGTTATCCTATAGATAATTATATACTATCCACATTGTTAATGTGTACAAATATGTGAACTTGTACATCTGGATTAATTTATAATTCCATATGTCTACTAGTGGTTTTTCTTTATTTTAATTTTAGATCTAGATAACTTTGTCATTTAATTTATTTCTAATGCCAGAAATTTGTTATTATATTGTACATTGTAGTTATTCTAAGGGAGACTTATTGTCCCAGAATAAAATTTACTTTCGTTCTTTCTTTCTATATAATGTTTTCTTTTTTGTTTTGTTTGCATTTTTGTTTTTTTCTATAACAACTATAAGTATTCTTGAGAAGACTTTATTCTTATTTTTTTGTTGTTTACTGTATTATTATTTTTATTGAAATTACTATATATATATTGTTAGAATCTTTATTAAGACGTATATATATTTTTCTTTTGTATTTGTTCATAGTTGTTATTCTATGGGAACTTAGTCCCAGAATAAAGTTTGTTTTTCTATTCTATTCTATTCTATAGTACAATCCTCAGATATCTTTTTCAGGAAAAATCAATCATTATTTTTAGTTCAAAATTGAATCCTCCAATCTTTATGTTTTGTTGAGTCTTTAAACATGTATAGATATGGATGCTTCACAACATCAGCACAGAAAAATAAATTAAATTTTGTGGCACTACCACCAATAGAAGCAGAAACAAGACAACATTCATCCCAAATCTATCACCAGGTTCAGCGGTGGTATGGGAATGAAAATGAACAAAATACAGAATAACGAGGATGAAAAAAACACAAGAATGGGCTAATTCCTGTAACCCCCCTTGAGCCCCCAGCTCCGGAAAGCTTGTTAGAACTTATTCCTTGCAAATTCAAAAAGAGATGTCAGAAAGCCTGTGGATGCAGAAAGGCTGGGTTGAAGTGTTCCGCTATGTGCACGAATTGTAGTGGCATTTGTGATAACTCGCAAGTTCTAATACAAGATAGCGATGAAGAGAAAGAAACAAAGACTATTTTCGAGCAAACCTATAATGAAAGCGAGAACAAAAAAGGAATGAGATTAAACTGATAATCCCATCGCGATGATATAGAAGAAATTTGGTCTGTGATGTTTCGATCAGTACTGAAGACAATGAACTCGCAACACCACCTAGTCCATCAAGAACAGCCAAGTGAAGGAGAAGCGCTAAATTTTGGAATAGTGAATGCTATCTGGATTAGGCTTACTGGGGATACCATGATAAAACAAAAGGTGCCCCTTACTCTATGTCAAAGGTAGTGTGGCAATGAGTTTTTTGGTCAAAGCAAGGGTTGAACTACACTTTGCGGCGCCGCTCATATGCCATAACGATTGATTTTACAAAAAAAAAGTTATTACATAAATTGTAGGAAATGATATCTATAGTTTAATTTTTATATAAATGTTTTTATTGTGTAATGAGTCAGAAAGGAAATATAGTCAAAAACTGCTTTTAGGCACCATTTTTACAATATGGCGGCTCGAGTGACAAAGATATTTCGGAAAGACCATATCAAAATCTATAAAATTACTCATTATCAAAACTCCCGGAAAACTTTCCAGATAACCTCTTTTTTTATAACCAAATCACAGAACTAGCAGTGGGGTACAAAATGATGCCTTGTGGTCCATCTTAAAGCATGGATGCTGTAATACTGGCATGGAACGTGAGCCTGATGTTCTGCACATCAGTAGATGCAAAAAAATATCTGTAAAGTGATATGATTCTAAGTAACTACTTCAAGCTCTGTAAAAGCAACATATAATAGACTAGCACTATAGGATATAAGAAATTGGGATGTAACAGAAAAATCTAATATTCCAGTGAATTTCTAACTCTTGAAGTGCATCAGGAAATGAAGATTTGGCAAATAGATTTGAAAGCATGATTAACAATATTTTACTAGGAGCTTTACAGTAATTTTATTTAAGAGCTTTAAATCTGCTGTCAACTTAGTTTTATTTATGAAATAAAATCAGAGGTAAAGATTGAAACACTGGCAGTGAGTACTGCAACATGACAACCCATGGTTACAGTTATTTATGTAAAAGGTGACTGTGAAGAGACACTTGTCTTTCATTCTCGCATAGTGTATTTGTTTTGTAATGCCGTAATGAGATTGGGAATACTAAAGAAAATCTCTTGAAAAGTCCAAGGAGATGCTTTCTGTTGTATTGGTGAGGATTCATTTTTATTTAATACTCCAATTATTTACAAAAGGATAAATTATAGTAGTATATTTAATAATTTTTAGTACTGGATGTAATCTCGCATTTTGGACCAAGTCTACCACAGATAATATTGGATAGTCTCATGTTCACGGTCATCCTCTATCATCTAGATGCCGGAGTAGAAAGATTGATGTCAAAACTGTTTTATATCACCAGTAAATCAAGATATAATAGCCAATTGTATCTGCTGCTGGACTGGACTTAGGTTAAGTTATTATTTTTAATTTTTTTTTCTAATATCTTCTTGTTTCACTCATGTACATATTGTGTTTATAATTAACTAAATATTAAAGGAACATTTTATTTTGTTTGTGGTGCAACTGTCTTATATTATATTTAATTTTTTTTAAATATTATATATTCCTTTTTTTTATATCTAACATATAACATTAGAATTATAATAACTATTATTGCTAATCTGGTCATAGTACTTTAAGTACTGAAACACTCAAAGTACCTTAAAGGTTCAAAGGTTTTAAAGTCTTTAACTTGTTCAGTGAACACCAATAACAAAACTCTACTTCTATAAAGCAAAATATATAGTGAAGTATATATAGATGAATGAGGAGGAATATGGTGGGGAAGTAAAAACTACAAATGTTATTTCACCCTAAACAAGTAAAATTTATACTTTCAATCAGCATCAGAACTAAATAAAATACATTACCGAAGACTAGCCATATGCATGAATCAAAGAAATTAATAAAATCTAGTAAAAGCTAAAGAATTACATGGTATAGATCAAGAGGACAAACAAAGCAGTGATCATTTATAGTATTCTAGGAGGTATTTATAACTGGAAAATAGTTAAGAAGCATAGGACTCAAAGTAAAGAGTTGACAAGAAGAGTACTACTACATAATAAATCCATAGAAAACAAAAAATCAAATGAAAGCATAGAGCTACATTATTTATTTATCAATTAAAAATTAGTTTGCAGTATATTACCGAGGACATTATACTTTTTCCAAGAATGGTCAGGAGGTGTCATCAATTGAGTGAGATCACTTTCAGGTGTCCATCGACTTATAACTTCATCTCTAGAAATCAACACTTCTGATGTATTATTTAATAATTTAAGAATTATTTCTTCAGAAACACAGTCAAATTGGGAAAATAAATGAATGCCTTTCTGGCCAACAGCATGAACTACTTGAAAGTGCCATGATGTATTCACCGCATTGCCACAGTCATCTTCGGTTAAATGAAAATTCATGCTAAGAATAGGCACAACATCTGAAATAAAATTAAAATAAGAATTTAATAAAAATTAAGTATAAAATATATTATGAGGTACACAATCATCAGTACTACATTGTGATTATTTTCTTTAGGCCACTTCAAATAAAATATCTGATTAAAATAAATACTAATCATGGAGACATACTCTCAGAAGAGGGGCCATGCATTCACCTTTGGTGAATAACACCACCAAGATCCCCAGTTAAGTAAACCATGCCGACTTCACCACAATATTACACTACTTTAGCACACTACAATACATCCACACTACAGATTAAGGTCATAAACAGTACACACCCTAAGGCCACCTTCAATAGGCAGATTCCACGGAATGGAGAAAAAGTCAGGATGCTCAGAGGAGGCAGCCCCTCCTGATGGTTCAAAGGCAGATCGAGTTGATAGCTCATTCTTCTTAAATTTAAACAAATCATGGAACCTCTAAGAAAAATAACCCGACTAATAACGGTGTCCATTAACAGTCTATTAACGGTGTCCATCAAAACGTCGGCAAAAATTAAAATAATTAATATATTTTAATTTTATATTTATTTGACCGCACCCTCGACTAACTCCTTCTCATATTATATCAACGGTCAACCATCTCTACATCAACCCGACTAATAAATGGAAAACAACACAGGATTCGCTAACAGGACTTAAATATAGGACAATGGAATATTTTATCTCTACACTGACTGGGGTTGCTTCGGCTACTACTATCTGAACTAGACAGATATGACATAGACATTGTATTAATCCAAGAAGTGGGGTGGAAGGGCAAATAACTTATTGAAAAGCATTTTCACCAAATATATTACAGCTGCCAGGAACATCATGCTTTTGGAATGGAAACTGTCGTTAGGGAAGGTCAGGGACCGTATCATAGACTTCAAGCTAGTTAATCATCGCATCTGCATTTTGAGAATCAGGAAAAATTTATAATTACAGCATTTTTAGCTGCCATGCACCAACAGAGGTTTCACCAGAAGAGGTAAAAGAAGGCTTCTATGACCTTATGGATCGAACTGTAGACAGCTGCCCTAAAAGTAGCGATATTAAAATATTTCTTGGAGATATTAATGCAAAAATAGGAAGGGAATCTATTTATAGACTGATAATAGGGAAATACAGTCTTCATGAAAAGTAATTCATTTTGTGGCATCTAAGGTTATGGTGATTGGAAGCCTATGGGGAAAAAATATACACAAAGGAACGTGGAGATCACCTGGCAGTATGGTGGAGTTAAGGATCGTAATGGGAAACTCATAGCGAAACATTTTATTTATTTTTCTTGCATACAGGGTGTTCATATTTTCAGTTTGGACGCTTAACCCTTAAACACCCTGTATACAAGAAAAATAAAATAAAAACTTTTCGCTATGAATTTCCTGTTACGATCCTTAAGTTACTTCTAGGGTTACTTATTTAATATTCATTAAATCAGCCACCATTTACAGGTAGCAAGATCTGACTGGCAGACTCTCATTTTTTAAATATAAATTTTATAAATGTTCAAAAAAATGCTTTCAAAGTTTTCATCAAATAATGTCGATTTTTTCTCACAGGCTCTCAGTCTAGATATGGATATATATATATATATATATATATATATATATATATATATATATATATATATATATATATATATATTCCAACTCTACTAATCTTAATATAATAATATATTGGTCAATATATTGGTCTTTGATCAAATTTTAGTTTATGTTTATCTCTTGATGAATGATTGATACATTTGTTGGCAATTAAAATAGATAGACAGATAGAAAATAACTTTATTCTGGGACAAATTCCCTTTTGAGAATAAAATAGAACAAAATTAAAAGATTACATCTGGCCTAAATAAAAGCAATAGAAAAAAAGAAATAATGTAAAGAATATATAAGATAAACATTCTATATACAAAACAAACAAAACTATATACAAAACAAACGAAACTATATACAAAACAAACGAAACTATATACAAAACAATTAACACTATGACAAGACACTTAAAACTATTTGCAGTGATAGACCAGTATAAACTTTTAAGAAAATAATAAAGAAAAAAAATAAAGTCGAGCAAAGTTAAAATGGTTAAAAAATATCTTACTAATAAAAAATTTATTATTTGTATAAATTTTAAGATTAGGTCCAGGTTAACAAAGTATATCTTGTTTGTTATTAAATAATAAGAAACAAACAAAGTAAGGCAGATACTTTTCATAAAAGTAAATAATTTTGATTACTTATTAGTTTTATAAATAAGTTTTAAAAAAATAAATTTTTATACAAAATGAAAAACCTTCAGTGAATTTGAGTACATTAAAAGCCTACCTTTTTTCAACCAATAAAGCAGCCATGAAGACAAATTAATTTTCCTACGAGGCTGTGTTAAAAAAAATCTTGTTGTGATGAAACCATCAAAAAGTTTATCCATGGCATTCATCATTTCAGGAACAGTTAAACCACCTTTACTAATGTGATACAAATACTCAACGATTGACAAATCTGATTCATTCTGATGGTTTGATAAGATTTTGTTACTTATTTCTTCTTCTGTCACAGCACTTTCCATACTATACAATGTGTGCTAAAACATATTTTTTAAAAAAGCTATAAAAAATAATTTTACTTATATGAATTTTTGTACATATATTATTGATTTATTATACATAATTATTAAATATATACTCACAAATATATATACATTTAAATAGCATAGTTCAAATTAAAATAGCAACAACTTTTAACTTAGTAAATTATATCTTTGCAAGTCCTCTTACTCATCACTCTCTTCCCAGTTTTCTCCCTTTTCATAATTTAACTGCGATAACTTTTCTCTCCTATAACTCTCCTACAGACCTAATTTCCTTCATAATGAAATCATACAACGACTCTATTGGGTTTGATGGAATACTTGCTAAATTATTGAAACTATGCCTTCCTGAAATCTTACCGTTTCTTCTTTTTATCTATAATTTTTCCCAACTCAGTATTTTATACTGGGTCTTAGATCTATTACCACCTTTCTTACTTTGGACCTAAATAATCATTCCACCACATTTAGCTCTCTTAAAAACTTGAGTATTACTATTGACCAAAACTTGCCAAGGAAACTCCATTTTGCCTACATTTCTCGACAGTAAGTGAACCCTTAGGTTAAACAACTCCCAGCATCCTTCCTACATCTTCAGTCTCTTGCAATTTACATCCTTGATCCACTCACAGAAAACAAGATTACACATTTTTAACCTTTATATCCCTTCCTACAGAGCTAATAAGCCCTTTGAACATTGTTTCCTAGGCTGCTCCAATGCCTACTGTATTCTCTATCATAAGGTATCCGCCATACTTTCTCCTTCCTTTCCTTCATTCAAATCCCTATAAATTACATAACCTTTTTAAATCCCAAAAACCTTCAGTTTCATGAATCATGAAATTTAATTTAAGAATAAAATTTTGATTGGAACAGAATGATAGTTTTAATATTTAAGTTTTTATTTTTTTTTATTTTATTTATTTATATGATATTTACAACTGTATACAAAAAATACATCTGGTAAATTCGCACATGGATATAATGACATGAAACACATGTTGAGAAACTACCCATTGGTAGCACTCTAATAATATGTCTATATTAGGAGATCACGTGGCCATCTTCTTTTCAGACGCCTCGGAGGATTATCAGGAATTGAATAGGAAGCAATGTTAGAAACAAGAGGGTTGGGATGGTTATGAAGTTTACTATGGAAGGACAGATATCTGGATTGGGCCAAATCTGATACATAAGGAACATTAAGGTCATTATGAATGATTTTATTTGTAACAAAGTCCTTACTCAATGCTCCTTAGCATTGAGGATTTTACGAAGGATTTTGGATTGTAAGGATTTTTGGTGGAGCCCCATAGCTCAACTCCGTAAGTCCATATAGGCCTTATTATCGTCATGTAAATTAGTCTTTTATAGTTCATTGGAAGGTTAGAGCGTTTGTCTAGTAAGTGTTGAAGTAGTCGTTTCTTGTTGAAGTTTCTTGTCGTTTCAGTCTGGTATGAGGATTCCAAGTTAGACGTTTGTCCAGATGGAGTCCTAGGTAACAATATTTAAGTTTTAAATCTTTTAGAGTGCAACCATTGGGTAGTTGCTTAATAAGTGTTTTCACATCATTATATCCATATGTTCAAATTTACTAAATGTATTTCTTTTATACAGTTGTAAATATCATTAAGAAATAGAAAAAAAAAGTTTTAAATCTTAAGGAGCAATTCATATTTTTCATTTTTTTTTTTATACAGTTAAATTTATTCTCGATTTTCTTACTTATCGATTCTCAATTATACATCATTTCTTTTTTTTGCTGTTTATATATTTTTACTAATGGTATGGAGATAATTGACCATAATTCTAATTTAAGAAGAAGTTGGACGGGTTGCAGTCAGTAAATATATTATTATTACCCTTGTATTATTAGCTTTTAGTATTACCCTTAATGTATCTATCCTTTAACTCTATACCATGTTATACTCTTCCGATATCGTAATATTCCATTACCGCATTTTAAAAAACACTGTAGGTCAATTGTCATTTATATTCTGTACTATTCTGCATAATTACAACTTAGTTTACACTTTAACTTACACACTAAATTAATTTTTTTTTATTACCATCACATTAATAAATACTTCACACTGATAATGATTAATCTACTACAGCCCATAAATTATAAAATATATTGTATTTCTAACGATTCTTTAATTCACTTTAACACTTAATGACCAATATTTAGTAATATCACCTACGACCAACTTCTTCTTAAATATAAATTTTTATAGTTGAGCATGCATGAGTATGTATTGAGCATCTTTTGTAAGGGAGTGGGGTAGGTCAGTGGTAGAGCGCTGACTTCTAGTGGTTAAGGTTTCAGGTTTGAGTTCGGTTGATGGCAGATAAATTATTTATCCTGTTTCATTAGCCATGTAGATCGATCCTGGGGCACACAAAGCCTCTATAAAGTGGGTAATTAAATAACTAATTAATTAATAATCAATTAAATAATTGCTTAATTAAGGGGAAAAACTGCGGTTGAGCATGATATCGATCAAATCAGCTCCTTGAACAACAGTTGACTAAGAGATAGTACTTCCCTACATACCACTGAATCCAAGACCTTTCACTGGTTCTAGTGGTACAGAGTTTTTTATTTATTTAATTTTTTAATGTATATACTTGAATTTATTAATGTATATTAATATTAATGTATTTTATTAATATAGATATTTGTGATTTGTAAAGCGACCTAGTCCCAGAATAAAGTTTCAATTCTATATCATTGTAATATATAAAAGGACAACTAATTTTTTGTTTGTAATTTTTACCCACTAGGACTACAAGGATTTTACATGAAATTTCTTTTAGAATGATTTGTACTATGCCATGAAGGTTTTAAGCTATTAAAATTCCTCGATCTACCAGTAAAAAGAAAGTTCAAAATATTTTCAACCTCATTTAGAGAGTTTTGTAAGTATACGTAATAATTGTTAGGGTATAGTAGGAAAAATATAACCACACAGCCTTGTGTCTCTAAAATGCAGATAAAAGCAAAAGAACTCATCAATGTTTCGCCAATTCAGGCATCATCAGACCATAAAACACCTTAAATCAGTTAAAAGGAGAAAAATACAATATATCTCACCAACAGACCAAAAAAGACACTTAGCCTTTATACTGGTAGGATTGGTGTTCTTCTTGGTTTTAAAGTTATAACTTTGTCATTACAAGTGATGTTGTTTATAGTTCTTTTTACACTTATTAAAGATCACCAGCGCTCTGATTAATGAATATTTTGGTGATATTTTGGGTTATTATTACCTAATAAATGAAAAATTAAGCAATAATATTACAGTTTATCAAGACAGTTAAGCGAGAGATCAGGACTGAGCTTACACCTGAGATTGAGGAAGATAGAAGAGTAGGCACTCCAGCAAGAAAATATTAAAAACTTACAAGGTGAGAATAAAACTCTGAAATTTTCTCAAGGCTAGGCTTAATCACACAGAACAAGCCCAGCTGGCAAACAATTTGGAAATAAGAAGTATCACGGGGCTAGCTGGGTAAAATGACAGAGGGCCTAGTTTGTTCCATAAGAGCTATAGGTAAGGTAAAAATTGAGTGTTGAGGACCTAGCCTTCGTTGAAAGAAAAAGGAGTCTATTCTGCTGACCCTCGGCCACTACCCATTGTCGTGTGGTTTATCAGCCAGATGGTACAATACAGTCATTTGGCTGCGCAAAGTTAAAAGGGATTTCCCAACAAGACCTTTGGGCAGGGACACCAACGAGAAATGAGACCTGGCAACAAGCATTTATACTGGTTGGCAAGGCAAAAAAGGGCGGCAGAGAAGCTGAAGTACCTTTGGTTTGCCAGAGGAAAAATCAAATACCGAAGAGAGGATGGCTCCCCTGTCAACATTATTTCCAAAAAGGAAGATATAGAAGCATTAGAATGAAATATGCTACAACGGTCCCCCCAATCCTGGTTTTGAGAGTCCTTCATTTTTATTTTTTTACTTTTTATAAATTGCTGCTATTCCCAGTAGAATTGGTTCCACCTATATACTGCCAAGAGTTTATGCTATCCATTTCTGCTGGTAGCCGGGAAACAAATTTTGATGGCCAAGTCAAAGCTATATCGGCACTGGCTATAACAAAGAAACAACTCAGTTAACCCCAGGTTGTGTTCTTTGTCGATTTAAAAGCAGCCATACTGGCGATCTGCAATGGCCTGGACCATCCTGATGTCACAGGTGGTAGATATCGGATTGACAATTTAATTAAAAAAGGAATCCGAGTTACTTTCTGATGGGTTCCAAGCCATTGTGGTCAACCAGAAAACAAAAAAGCTGATGAAATCGCACAAATTGTCTCGGAAATGCCAAACTAATCATCCGCTGCCCTACAAATCCTTTTACAAGGAAGAGAACAAGAATTGGCAAAAACAACAGGCAGCAGGGCAAAAATGGGAATCTTTAACAGAGGGGCCGAGGAAAGAAATGAAACGAAAATTTGAGAGGCCTGAGGAAAATCTTGGGGGCAATATGCCAAAGTGGAGTCTGGAGACAACGGACTAATGCCGAATTAATGAACTATATGAGAATGCTGATGTGGTCACCTTTATTAAAGTAAGTTCTCTCAGATGGACTGAACATGTCCCAAAAAACATACTTAAGGAAGAAATAGTTGGGAAAAGAAGGAGAGAAAGACCAAGGTTGTGGTGGATGGATGGCATAGCTATGGATGCCCGATCCATGCTTAGGGTCTGGAACTCGAAGGCAGCAGCAACAGGGATGACTGAGGGTCCAAACTGGAAGAGGCCTTGTCTCTACAAGGGACGTAGTGCCATATAAAAAGAAGATGCAGCAATGTGGGGGTAAATATTTTTTAGGAAAAACAATTGTCAATATTTGTTTTTTGCTCCTCAAAAAAGTCTAAAATTGAATTTTCATAGCAATAGAAACATTAAAACTTTTTCCCTAGGCAATTTTTTTCAAAATTTTCAATTTCAAAAATACTGTGAAAACTCCAGAACGACTTC